CTTTCCTCAGAACCCTGAGTTCTGGGGAAGGGTCACTTGACCCAAAACGTTAACTCTGATTTCTCTCCACAGATGTTGCCAGACCTGCTGAGCTTTTCCAGCAATTTCTGTTTTTGTTTCTGAATTACAGCATCTGCAGTTCTTTCTGTTTTTATGAGGAGAAATTACGTCTGTCAACGGGCCATGAATCTATGGAGTTCATTACTCCAGAGCGCAATGGATGGTGGGACGGTAGGTAAATTTAAGGAGAAGATACTGGTTTTCAAGTAGTAATGGATTGAAGATTATGGACAGCAGGCATCAAAGTGAAGTTGAGGCTGAGATGAGATCAGCCTTTATCATATCAAAACGGTGGAGCAGGCTCGAAGGGCTGAATTAGCTCTTGTTCTTAATTCTTGTGTTTCTTAGGTAATAGCATTGAGAGGCGATAATAAGGATCTTGTGTTGTAGTGATAGTGCCCTATCTCTGGGCCAGAAGGTCTGGGTCAAGTCCCATATGACCTAGAGTTTTGTCACACACACCCAAACTGACTGACTGATTAAAAATACCTAGAGAGGATATATGCTTTTGCTCTCTACTCTTGCACCACAAGCACCACCCCACATTTTTGTTGGAGTGACAATTTCTTCATACAAGACCTAAATTTTGCATTGTTAACCTATCTAAAAGTTTCAAGGATCTATCTGTGTATTGATTACAATTTGTAATTGCATTGGAAAAGCAGCAATAAATCACATGACTGTTGAGGTTGGTTGGCTCGCCGAGCTGGTTTGTTGTTCCGCAGACGTTTCGTTACCATGCTTGGTAACATCCTCAGTGCAGCCTCTGATGAAGCGTCAGTGTGTTTTCCTGCCTGGCTTTTGAACTCTGGGGTCTGTTGCGATGGATTGCCTCACTTCCGGGTTTCCTCCATAGTGGAATGTATATGGGGTCCAGTTCAATGTGTTTATTAATAGCCTGCTTCGTGCAGTGCCATGCTTCCAGGAATTCTTGTGCTTGTCTCTGCCTAGCCTGTCCCAGGATCTTGGTGTTGTCCCAGTCGAAATGGTGGTTTTCCTTGTCCATGTGGATTGAGATGAGTGAGTATTGGTCGTGTCTTTTTGTAGCCAGTTGGTGTTTATGTACTCTTGTTAGTTTCCTTCCTGTTTGTCCGATGTAGTGTTTCTCACAGTCTCTGCAGGAGATCTTGTAGATGACATTGGTCCTGTCCATGGCGGGGAGTGGGTCTTTAGTTCGGGTGAACACTTGTCGTAGGGTTGATGTGGGTTTGTGCGCCATTCTGGCCACAAGATGGTAAGGGTAATGATAAACGACGCACACAACCAGCTCCACAAATACAACAGAGAAATTACGTGCCAAAAAACGTTATTCCAGGAAGCTACCAATCAAGACTGGACAATCGACATGAAACGAGCCATTAACATCAGCCGACAGACCACAAGAGCCAAGAAAAGACAGACCCTGCAAGACAAGCTAACCACACTTACCCACAAAAACTACAACAACAGAACTGACACATGGATAAGGAACCTCTGACAGTAAACTGACAGACGCGGAAAAAACCGTTCTCACCCGGGGACTGAACTCCAACTACAGGGATGCCAACAAAACGGAATGGCTAGCTACACTGGAAGCCACACTCAAGACCAACAATATCAACGAAGAAACACAACAAACTATAAGACAGACGGTAGTCCTGACACTAACCAGAAAGAGGGAACCCAACACCCTCAACACACGGGAAAGACAAGCCCTGGACAGATTTAAAGAAGGACGAGAACATCACTATACTATCTGCAGACAAAGGGTGCATGACAGTGATAATGAATAAAAAGGACTACATCTCCAAAGCACAAGCACTGCTCGCCGACGAGAACACGTACTGGCCAGTACAAACTGACCTGACCCCACAACTAGGCAACAAAATCCTATACACGCTACAAAGACTTAAACAAACAGGACAGATCAACAAAGCAGACTTCTTAAGAATGAAACCCGAAGGAAACAACACACCCCAATTCTACGGCCTCCCTAAAGTGCACAAACCGGAAGTCCCTCTCAGACCCATAGTCTCCCTACCGGGCACTCCATTGCACAGATTAGCCAGAGAACTACAAAGAAGACTCAAGCACCTAGTCAAAAAATCACCCTACTCCATCCACTCAGCCCAAGAATTCCTCAACTCCATCAAAGACATAAAGATAGAGGACGAAGGGACCATGATATCGTTTGATGTCACCGCCCTATTCTCGTCAATAGACATACCACTAGCAAAGGAAACAATGACAACACTACTTGAACAAGAACATGACCCCAGTGAAACCATCTCCAAGGACAACATGCTTAAACTACTGGACCTATGCCTGTCCACCCACTTCACCTTCAACGGCCAAACATACGAGCAAATCAACAGGACACCCATGGGATCGCCTATCTCCAGACTCCTAGCAGAAGCAGTGATGCAAAGACTGAAAAGGACTGCCCTTCCGCAAATCCAACCTAAACTATGGATTGCTACGTAGACGACACCTTTGTCATCATTAAACAGACCAAATTAGAAGAGACACACAAACTCATAAACAATACCCTCACTGGAATAAAGTTCACCAGAGAGGAGGAGAAGAACAAACAACTCCCATTCCTGGACGTCATGGTAGAGCGCAAGACAAATGGGGAACTGCAAACAAAAGCACACCGAAAAGCCACACGCACAGACCAGGTATTGAACTTCAATAGTAACCATCCCAGCACACACAAACGAAGCTGCGTGCGAACACTATTTAAAAGGGCAACAACACACTGCAGCAACATGGAACTACGCCAAGAGGAGGAGGAATACCTCTTCCAAGTGTTAAGGATAATGGATATCCAAAGAACTGGGTCAGAGATGCCTACAGGAACAGCATCAGAAAGATTCTACATGCCCCAACACACTCATCACACTACCCTACATCAGGAACACGTCAGAACTCACCACAAGACTTCTGCGACCGCTAGGCATCAGAGTGGCACACAAGGCCACATCAACCCTACGACAAGTGCTCACCCGAACTAAAGACCCACTCCCTGCCATGGACAGGACCAGTGTCATCTACAAGGTCCCCTGCAGAGACTGTGAGAAACACTACATCGGACAAACAGGAAGGAAACTAATAACAAGAGTACATGAACACCAACTGGCTACAAAAAGACACGACCAATACTCACTCATCTCAATCCACATGGACAAGGAGAACCACGACTTCGACTGGGACAACACCAAGATCCTGGGACAGGCTAGGCAGAGACAAGCATGAGAATTCCTGGAAGCATGGCACTCCACGAAGCAGGCTATTAATAAACATATTGAACTCGACCCCATATACATTCCACTACAGAGGAAACCCGGAAATGAGGCAATCCATCGCAACGGACCCCAGAGTTTAAAAGCCAGGCAGGAAAACATACTGACGCTTCATCAGAGGCTGCACTGAGGATGTTACCAAGCACGGTAACGAAATGTCTGCGGAACAACAAACCAGCTTGGTGAGCCAACCAACCTCAACACCCACAACCCGAGCTACAAATTTACTCCAAAACCTTAGAAATCACATGACTTTTTTCCCCCAAATAAGAATGGATGATTTCTGTTGAGTTTCAGATTTGAAAAGAAAAAATGACTTTTTTAAAAGATGAATTATTACATTGGTAAGAGATGAAAGTTGTGGAAATACATTTCTCTCGATAATTATTGCTGTTTCCTTTCTGTTTAGGCTCGATGCTCAGTGGTAGAAAATCCAGAAGCCTTGCGAAAAACGGCAGATGAGTTTCTGAGCAGAGCAACTACAACTGATGCTGGTCTTCTCTTTACACCATCACAAATAGCAATAGCAGCTATTCATTTCAGTGCCTCCAGGGCAGGCATTAATCTGGATAGGTACTGGTACCCTTCAGTATTTCAACTTGAGATATTTGGGTCAAGACAAACTGCAGATAATTCAATGAGTTGCTTGAGGATAACTTGAAATGAGTGTTAGTAATAGAGGAAAATAGCAAGCTGAATTATTGTTACACTGGATATAAAACCTTAAATGTGCAGGAAGTGTTTTTTTTCCACGATCTGGGAGGTTGATTACGTATTAAATAAGGTGGAAATACCATGGAGGAATTAGTAATGGAAGTTATACTTAGTTTGTTGTATATTGTTTGATGAATGAAATTCTGGAGTTCTAGACAATTCCACATGGTTTAAAAATTTGTAAGCAGTTGTGACTTTGGCAAAACTTCAGAATATATCTGAGGTTAGAATCAAATCAGCTGTGATCTTATTGGATGGTGGAGCAAGCTTGAAGGATCGAGTGGCCTACTCTTGTTCCTTATTTGTATGTTTCTGGTACTTTCTGTACTTACTGGTTTGCGGATCCTGGCTTGATCCTAACATCCTTAATTATGAACAATTAATTGTTATGAAGCTCCTTCATTATTAATGTTTTGGGAATTCATGTTTAAGGCATTGTGTTAATTTGACGTACTGAGCAAGTACTTGGTTTTTAAACATGGAAAGGGCACTGGGACACTCTTTATCTTCAAAACTATTTATTAAAATTTCATGGTTTAGGCTAACTAAACCGCCAAGTCTGTGGAACCACTGAATTCACTGGAAATCACATGTCTGCGTTTATAGCTGTCATAAGCTGTGGCAATTGTTATATTGCTGGGAATTCCAACGTGCTACAGCCTGCTGTGAAATGGAGGGGTGAAGGGGAGAGAGCAAGCATGAGAGAGAGAGAAAAACTACTTTGCTTATTCTGTGCTTTTCTGAGGAGGAGTCCAGTGTGAGACTGAAAAAAGAATACAGTTGTTACTGCTGAAAAAAACTCTTGACTCCTTAACAAATCTTGAATGAACTATGATCCAGTGATGGTTGTCTATGTTTTGTAGCACCATTTATGTGTACTAGGAATCTGACTAAAAGCCATCTTATTCTCTCCATCAGGTACTAATCATAATTGGCCAAAGTGATTTTCTTAAATTCAAGGTTAATCTCTGTGGAGAAAGTTCTTAATTTTTAAAAAAAATTGGGGGGTGTGTTGGGATTATTTAAAGGGGCAAGTATTTTTACTTTCATATTTCAAACTCTTATTCAGTAAAGATGTGAAGCAGGTTGAGTCCTATTGTCACACTAAATCAGTAATTGTTGTTTTTCAAAGCAACCGAAGTGATGAATCTTTTTATTGTAAACCTAATATAGCTAAAGTATATAATTGGCCATTTCAATAACTAGGTAAAGCATTTACACTTATATTGTGAGTTACGAAATAGTGAGACTAGAAGAGACTATACTCTCGTCCAACCTCAGTTGTAGCACAATGCAGATGACTGTACCTAAGAAATACAGGACTGTTTATAATTTTTTTATCACAACAGTATGCAGAATGATTTCTGGAATTTGTAGAACATTTAAGACCATAAAAAAAGTAGGAACAGGAGTAGGCTGTTCAGCCCCTGGAGCCTGCTGTGCAATTCAGTAGAATCCTGGCTGATCCAACATTCCTCAAACCCACACCACTTTATTGCATTTTCCCTGTATCCCATGATTCTCCTACTGATCAAGAATCTATCTCCCCCTTAAGTATACACAAGGACTCCGCCTCCACAGCTCTCTGTGACCAGAATTCCAATGATTCATAACCTTCCGAGAGAAGACATCCCCCTCATCTCAGTCATAAATTGTCACCTCTTTATTCTGAGACTACTCAAACAATTGTAATGAAAATAGCGTGGGTGAATTTTCTAAGGGGTTATTATAACTTCTAAGGAATATAAAAGCTGAGAGATGTAACCTGAGCATTTTTGTTTTGGAAGCAATAGATTCTGATCGATCTGCTGAAATTTTTCTTCATAACGTTTTGTTATTTGTCACTGTTGGAGACAGTTGTGTTTGCTGTTTTTGACACTTTATTATATTGACATGAGTAAATTTCATATACTAGCAATCATTTAACTATTGTATTAATCTTTGTTTTAATTTTGTATTTCGTACTTTAGCTACTTAACAGAATGCCTTATGCTAAAAGACAACAATGAATGCCTGTCAAAACTGGTTGAAGTAATCAGATGTAAGTAATCTTGCACAGTTTCTATGGTAGATTGAATTTACATTACCTGAAATGGTTGCTACTAAATTGAGATTAATTAGCTGTGTAATTTGACAGTTTTTGCTTCAGTGTAAACAAGTTTCATGGAGACATTTTAAAAGTTCAATTATAGTATTTGGAATATAGTTCTGCCAATGCCCCATTAATCTCACTTCAAATTCCCTTCTCAGCATTAGACTGCTAAAGCACAAACAATGGGCCATAAAGTCTGCCTAATCCAAATTTCTATTTTGTTTTAGTGTTCTTAGTTTTTAAGAAATTGTAGTCCAATTTTCAAAGAATGTCTGCCCAATGCTACATCAATTTACAGTAGAGAATTCCAAATTTTTAACACCCTTTGTGTAAATATTTTATTCTAACCTTTAATTCTTTTTTCCAACTACTATATCTTCGTTTTCTAGCATTATTATATTGCTGATGATCACTATTTAACCTAACCTAATTTCATAATATTTTAAACCTCATAATTTTATCATCTCTGATTAGTCACAATTCTTCAAGTCAAACTTTAAAACTGTAACTTCTTATCCAAGGTCTGTTTATCAATCTACACAGTACTTCCTTCAATTTTTTTATATATCTTTCCTATCTCAGATTACAGGCAATGGAACCAGAAGGTTGCCACGAAATACGTGGTCCCTATGGCAGGTCTTTGAAAGACCTATCGAATAAGTCCTACCCTCTGCTCGTCCCTTTATTCTCCAACAATTTTCCTTTGCAAACAATATTTTACAACGAAGGTTATTGTTAGTTGATGAAAATAGTTAAATGATGTGCATGTGGACTTCTGAAAGGTGTTCAATTAAAGAATCCCAATAGACATTAAAAGATTTGAAGTGAAATTAATGGGGCATTGGCAGCTTGGGTAGGGACAGAAAACCGGACAATATTACTGGCTGATTGTAAACCTCACTTCTATTTGTAAACAGTGATATTCCTTAAAGATTGAGAGAGGGAGACTAATGCTCTTTTTAAATATGTATTTATGTTCTGGATTTAGATATAAAGGGCACGATTTTAACCTTTTGAGAATGATATGAAACTCAAAAATATATTGCATAGGGAGAAGGGTTTTAGCTAATTTTAAGAGGGCATTGACTGTTAAAATGAGCAGATGCAGTGCTGATGAAGTTTAATGTAGAAATTATGGGGTGCTTATATTTATAAGCAGGGACTTTGGCTTCCTTGGTTTTGTATCCATTCTAAAGCTTTACAGCTTTTCAGTTAGGCCTCAGCTGGAGTTAATGTGGACAGTACTAAGCATCACACTCTAGGAAGGATGTCACGATCTTTTGATAGAATGTAGAGAATGTTTATCAGAATGAATTAGAGAGAGAGATATTTATGTAGAGTAGAGAAGAGAAGTTGAATTGTTCTAGGAGCACAGATAGTCAAGGGGAATTTTAAAGCTTGTGTTCAAAATTGCAATAACCAGCGCGCGCATGTGCACGCATAGACACACACAAAACACATACCAAAAGATGATGATAAGTCATTGGAAAATCAGTCGCAAGGTTGTTCAAGAACAGCAGATAGTGGAATGTTGATAGTTGAGCAGTCATTTTCAAAATTTTTCACTTGTTAGCTGAAATTCCTTTGTCCTGTTTCCTTTTGAATAGGTTTTCTAATTGGCTTCCAGAACTGAGTGAGAGAGTTCTTTACTTGCCACACAGCCTAGTGGATGACTTTCACAGTACACTTGTGCTCGAGTGCAGATAGTAGACACAAGTACCTCATCCCATTATCGCATGCAGACCGGCGTTGACACTCTCCTTTAAGTTCTATCCTTGTACATTCTTGAAAGGGGAAACCATATGTCTGTCACCCAGATGCACTGGATTTAATTCTGTTGTCCTCTTTTGGTTGTATCTCTGAATTACATAAAAACTTTTCTTAAAAAGACAAGTCCAGTATGTCTGTAGGTGGTCGGGGTTATGATCTGTGGTCGTGACAAAATGTGAGGGATTTTAATAGAATAAATAAAAAGAAATCTTTTTATCCCAGTAGTATGATGATCATTAACTGAAGGATACATATTTAGCATAATAAGTACCAGAGAGGAGATGACAGTTTTAATGCCACATGTGAATGCAATTTGGAATTCACTGCAGTGAAGGCAGTTTCATTAGCTTTTAGGAAAATGTTGCTTCCTTTTTCAAGTAAATATCCAAATATGGCTATGGGAAGAAAGCAAAGAAGTGGAACTTCTAAAAAGTTGGTAGAGGCAGGAGGGCCAAATAGACTCCCCTTGCATTCTGAGTTTTTGTGATTCCAATTTGATTCTCCCTCCATTCCAGCCCATCGTAATACTAGTCGCAACCTACCTAATAGGTCTCTTGTTGATTGTCTGTCTGTATTCACTCCTCCTAGGCTTATTTCACTTGTTGGGTCAAGATCCTGAATTTATTTTCCAAATTAACTAAGTCAAGGCTATTGACCACTGACACCCCTGCCCCGAATGTTGTGGCTAGACCATTAAGGAGTTCCCTTTTCTTTAATTTATTAACTGTTTGTGGGTCCCATCTACACATACCACATTGTCTGGTGAGTCGTACCACAGGTATTCTGGTATGTTTTCAGTAGTGCCTGCGTTACATTTTTGGACACGGTCATTATAATAGTTGTACGCTATATACAATAAATGCTCTAAGGGTTGCATCGCTTTCTTGGAGTAGCTACTCTGGTGCACTTACCAAAAAAAGTAATTTCTGTAAATATCTTGGTCAACTTTCTGACATCATGTTCCACATAACATTTTGAAATTGTCAAATCGTTGCAATTGTTACCCATTCCTGGCTCCCCTTTTTTTTAAGGAGAAAACAGTAAGGGCAATAGAATAAATTTGCCCTGTATGGGGATAGCAGCTTGTGCACTTGTGGCTGGGGACCTTTAAGGCTGTTTCCATTACGGAGTTGCCCCTGTCATCAGCGTATAAGCCACGGCTTGTTTTCCTTCCAGCTGTTGTTGCCAAGATGGGAACCTGGATGTTGGCCCCTTTTTCCAAACTTCCCAGTGCCAAGTTGGAATTTTAGGTGCCCAACAGTCCCGAATGAAATGGCCGGTTTGGCCATAGTTATAGCGCAGATTGGGTTTTGGGATTAACTTGGGAGCGTTATCCACTTCTGGAGGCAGGGGACTTGTATGGACAGGGAGTCTGTCTGGGACTCCTTAGCGAATACCTGCCTCTTCTATCATTTCTCCATGTTGGAGGGGGCTATAGGAAGTCCAGACCACACTTATGTGCATGGGCTGTGGTTTCAGCTGTGGGTTAGGGGTGGCAGTTGAAGGTGCAGTCATCTAGGAGAAAGGCAGCAGGGACCCCCATTTGTGGGGCAGAGGTGGATTGAGTGTCAGTTGGGGCCTCTTGTTCTCTCCCTGGGGAGGTAGAAACCCAAAGGCACACATTATCCCATTCTGGGCGGAGACTTGGTTCGCTAGGGACAGTATTTGTTCCTGGCACTTTGAATGCTCCATACTAGGGCTTGATGTGCATTGCTCTGCATTGCAGGCTTGGACAACCTATATGGCTGCTTGAAACTCCCTACCCTGTCATTCCAGTTTGTCAATGTTTGCTGAGGCTGCCTCTCGGTCCTCAGTGGCCCTTCTGTCATTAGAACAGGCTCTTTCCAGTTGTGACTGCAACTGTCCTGTATGAATCAGATTTTTCGGTATTCTGGTGTCCTGCTCTTTAACAAGTGTTAACTTCTCCAGTTCATCAGTAGTGATTTTCTAATCGGTCCCACAGCAATCTAATATCAACTAGTCGTCTACGGTATTCTTGTAGACTACATGCTATTGCTATTGCTGTGGTTATCTTAGTGGCCGCCTTCCCTGATCTGTCATTTGTTTCTTGTCGTATGTGTTGGACCATGGAACCTGTGGTCCAGGGCCACCCAAGGCTGCTACAGAATTCTGTCCATTTGGGCCACTTCCTTTTAAAAAGGTATTGTCTGAGAGTGTACTCCCATGTCGGACAAGTGGAAACTTGTCCTATTTTGCTAGCAAGCATATTATTGCAGTGTTCATTACTGGATTTCTCTTAAAAGTAGTTTCCTCAATTCTTTGGAACTCAAAGGTCCTTCAACTCTGTTGAACTTAAAATAAAGTTCCTTTGACTCTGAAAGTAAAGAATGACTTTCGCTCAACTCTGTCCCCACCAAATATTCTTGGGATAGGGGAAACAAGATGTCAAAATAGAGAGTAAATTTCCCTCTACTCATTCAAACTCTCAGTAAACTAAAAATCAATTCTCTTAGCTTTATCCCCATCGAACACTCCCAGAACCAGGACAACAAGGGTTTAAAATTCAGAGGAAAATTTCTTCTACTCATTGGAAGTAAAAGTAAATGAAATAAAGCTCCCCTCACATCAACCCTATCTGACACTTTTGGGACAGGGACAATGGAGGGTTTAAAATAAAAGCTCCTTGGTTTGTTCGAGGAGTCCGAAATGTCCCTAGGTTTTCACACGAGGCAAACATCTGTCCCCCTCTAGGCTGACTTCCTCACAGTCCCTCTGTATCGTATTACCTTTCTTCAGCTTATGCTTTGCCTGCTCTGGCTGTAGAACACCTGGCTTTTATTGTGCATGTCACAGTTTAAGGTACCTGGTTTACGGCTCACTGTGTGTGATCAGTGCCAGCCTCTCGCATATTCAGTTTATATCCTGACCTTCGCACGGGGCAGCTGCCCTCTTAACAACCAGCTCAGGCTGAACACGCAAGATACCAGGCAGTTTGGGTTCAAAGGACCATGAGGGTCGCTTCAACCGAAGCCTCTTAACATGGATGCTAAAGTTGGCTTTGTCTCTTCTTAAAACAATTTAAACACTAACTAGAATGTTATGAATGAATTTCTCTAGGTGTCCCACAGTACTAAAGCAGTCAAATGAATATGAACACAAGCTGGTATCCATGCAAAACAAAGTTACAATAACCTTTCTATATTAAACACGCTGTCTCTAATCCTATACGACACCTTAAAGTTACAGTAATTCCTGAGTCTCTTGTAGATTTACGCAGATGCTGTCTCTATGGGTCTGCATAGCTGCTTTCTTGCTTTCTTGCTTTCTTGCTTTCTTCCTCTGGATAGTCAGCTGCTCTCTGCCTCTTGCCATGCTGGTCTCCTCGGACCTTCCAATAGCCATCCCAAGAAGGTCTGCAGGTGAATCTTTTTTTTTGTATACCTTTTTAGATGGCTTTCTGGAACTTTCTATAGTTCTAGCCAATCAGGGAGATACACTTAATAGTTTGAAACAGAGGCAATCATTTGGATGACATGCTACTGTTAGATACTTTGTGTAGCAGGACCCCAGTACCTTTCTGTCTGGGCCCTCCTTTGTCTACTGGATTAGTTGTTGGGGGTTACTTGTTGAGGATAGTTGTTGAGGATAACTGTTGCTTTTATGTTATGATAATGTGATTAGTACCTGGCTGCTGTGTTTAGAGTGTGGGTTCTGTGATTTCAGAGTTTTACTTGGTCTTGCTGTTTGGCCAAGTTAGCAATCTGTGTTTTAGCAGCCAGGATAGCTGCTACACTGCCCTCTCCCACACCGCAATATTCATGTCCAAATAATTTATGCATACAGTACATAAGAGCAAGCCTGTCCATTCACCTGTGAGAAACATTCTTTGAGAAACTGTGTTTTTTGCTTTTACCCTTTGCTAATATACATCAACTCTACATTCTATGTTCCATTGACTTTGGTAAAAGCCTTTTCATTATAGTATCCAATATATACATATAAAGCACATACACGTGTTTTTTTTTTTAAAGAAACCGTGGCATTTTTATCTGGTAGTTCAATTACATTTTTTAAAACCCGAGTCCTATAATTTACATTTTAATGTTTTCTCTAAAAACTTGAGAGAAAGTTCTAATGCCATTATATTGTATGATGATTAATACTGAGCAGGTATAAAGACTCTGGTGAAGAAATATGAACCTCCCAAACCTGAGGAAGTGAATCTTCTGAAGCAGAAACTTGAACATATACATAGCTTGGATCTTGGCATCGTTACAAGTTTGTAAGTATTGACAAGAAGAAAGTAAAAATCAGTCAGGTTTCAATGACTTCATAAAAATCAGCTAGATTTTAGCTATATTGATAAGTCAAAGATGGTAGATAAAACTCTAATTGAGCAATGGAGGAGATAGTTTCAGCACAGAGAGAGAAAGTTAAATGAGAACCAGGCTGAACATAGAATGTTAGAGGCAAAATGTGAAAGGAAATTAGAAATCACTGCAGAGAGGCCAGTACCCCATCTCCAAGTCACCCTTCATTTACTTGTGCACAGTACACTGGCTGTTGCCAGCCAGCTCAGAGTCAGTTCCCAGAACTGAGGAGAATCTAAATACCCTGCTTATATTGGTCAGCCAATGCCTCCTGAATGGCCTAGGTTAACAACCCCAATCAAGTACCTTGTAGTTAACAAGGTCCACCTGGTTCCAATCACTACATCCCTCCCCCCACTAAGTCAGGGAATGTAGGCCTGGTCTATCTCTTGGAGCTTTTGCTGTGAGATTTTTGCCCCAGGTCCAGTTCCTCTGATTCAGACTCTGACATGGGCGGTGTGTACCGGACTGCAGTTCGTCTCTTGGTCCGGAGCTTCTCGGGAGAGTTTCCTTCTCTTCTTCCAACGGCAATGGTACTGAGGCTGCATCCATCTCGGACTCCAAAGTTTCCATGACACTAGATGGAGGGGGAGAACCTACGGTTTCTGACAGGCCTTCTGGCTGTTCTGAGGGGCCGGGTATGTTTTGCTCCTGCCCCATTTGCGAGCTAACAGCTTTCAGGTGATCCACATGTTTGTTCAGGACTATCTCACCTACCCAAACTTCGTAAGTCATGGGACCTGACCTTGCATCAACCTCACCTCATAACCAGACAGGGCTGTTTCCATGGTTCCGGCACCAAACTTCATCCTCTGAATTAAATTGTCTTTCTTGCTTTTAGGAGGCACGTGGCTGCCATTGGCGTTCCTTCAGCTGTTTCATCCTCCTCTTCCCCTGCTTCCCCCGCCACCAGGTCTGGGAACATTTAGTTTAATTTAGCAGGGAGTCTACTCCCCATCAGCAACTCTGTTGGAGTTATCTCTGTTGTTGCGTGAGGGGCAGTCCTATAAATGAACAGGAACTGGGACAGTTTGGTATCAAGTGACGCTGTAGGCTGCTTCTTTAAGCCTGCCTTCGTCGTTTGGACCACTCTTTCCACCAGACCATTGGACAATAGATGGTCCAATGTACCAAATGCCATTCAACTTCAAGAAATACTCATTCCTTGCTGGTAAATAACGTCCCGTAGTCCGTGACCAATATTTCCAGGAGTCTTTGTATCGCGACTGATACTTGCAGCTTCTCAGTTGTTATCCCGGAGTTTGCTGAATGGACTTTATGCACGTCCAACAACTTTGAATGGGCATCCACAATGACCAGGAAAATTCAACTCCTGAAAAGGACCGGCATAGTCAACATCTAACTGAGTCTAGACTTTACCTGCTCATCCCCATGAAGGTGGGACCGCTGCTGGTAGCATTTTTTTGTCATTGTTGACACTCTGGGCACTGTCCCACCAAGGCTGCTATGTTGGCATCCAATCCTGGCCACCAATTGTAGCTTCTTTCTAGCATCTTCATCTTGGAAACACTTGGATGATGGGTGGAGTTCAGCCAGTATCTGGTGCCACTCTTTATTCGGGACAATCTCTCTTGCTCCTCAAAGTATTATGCCAACTTCTACAGTGATCTGGTCTCGCTGGGTGCAGAAAGGTTTCAGTCCTGGTTGTAATGGCCCTCCTGTCTCCCCCATTACTAACAGCTACTTTAGTTTTGCTAAGACAGGATCTTTTTGTGTCCACGGTCAGATACCCTTATGAGTATTAATTGAAGTGCACTTCTGGGACTCCTTATCCTATTGCTGTTGCAAGTAGGTATGGTTCATGTCCACAGCAGGCCAAGCAGCATCATAGGAGCAGAAAGGCTGACGTTTCGGGCCTAGACCAGCCCCCAGCCCTGCACCTTGTTGTCTCGGATTCTCCAGCATCTGCAGTTCCTACTATCTATGGTTCATGTCCAGCCTTGTAAAGGACAGCAACCCCCCCACCCTGGCTATGGGCTATCCTAGGGTGTCTCTGCCCAGGATATGCCCTGTGTGAGATTCTGCAAGAGCCTACACTCAAATGGGATTCCCCAAGCTCTGTTGGACAGGTGAGGAAGTCCACTTCCATAGGGATGCCATGTAGCTCCCATGCTCCACTTGCTGCATTTTCTAATGACCAGGCCAGTTGTAGTGCCTGTTTGAAGTCTAGTTGGACTTCACCTAGTAGGTGCTTCTAATGATTGTCATTAATCCCAAATACCAAACGGTGTCTCAGCATCTCATTCAATGTTAACCCAAAATCACGTGCCTCTGCCAGTTGTCTCAGCCTTGTCAATAATCCTGATACAGAATTGTCTGGTTCTCTAACAGCCAAATAAAACCAATAGAGTCTCAGAATTAGAGAAGGTTTGGGGTCGTAATATTCCTTAACCAACTCCATCAACTCTTGAACAAGAACAGAAGTTGCTGGAAAAGCTCAGCAGGTCTGGCAGCATATAAAGAAGAAATCAGAGTTAATGTTCCGAGTCCGGTAACCTTTCCTCGTATGCTGCCAGACCTGCTGAGCTTTTCCAGCAACTTCTGTTCTTGTTACTGATTTACAGCATCTGCAGTACTTTCAGTTTTTATTTAGTATCCATCAACTCTTGGAAGGTTTTAGTGTCTGGTGCCTTTGGAAAGTTAAGCCTCTTGTAACCAAAAATGCTTTTTATCTACAAAACCATGCTTTTCATCTGCCCCAATGTCATTTGCTCAGAAAAAATATCACATTCTTTCCACATACTGGCCTAGTCTTTGATGGCAAGATTAAAGGAGTCCAGCTTCCCAAATAAAGGCATGAAGGCTTACCCCACCAACTCCAAGATAACAGTTGCAAGCGAATGTTTTCAGGCACATACTGTTTTCTTCTGTCAACACTGAAATAACTGCAGAGACCAATATCTTGTACCAAGTCACCCTTTACTTACTTGTGCACGCTTGTAGCCAGTCAGCTCGGAGTCAGTCCCCAGAACTGATTCTAATCCCCCGTTAATATTGGTCAGCCAGTACATCCTGATGGGCCCAGGTGAACAATCCCAATCAAGGACCTCTTACTCAGAGGTTCACCTGGTTCCAATCACTACAAACTTAAAATAGCTTCATAAAAATAGACACGTTAATAGAACGTTATTGTTTATTTTGAGGGTAATTGTGTACAGAAATAGGTAGATTATGCTTCAGTCATATTGGGCATTAGTGAAACCACATTAGAGTACTGTGCACCATATTGGTGGTCTTATTGTGGAAGAATGTAAATGTGTTGGAAGAACTTCAGAGAAGGTTTAATAGAGTAATACCTTGAATGGGTGGTTTCTTATGAGGAAGAGTTGGACAGGCTAGGCTTGTATTGCTAGAAGTCTAGAAAGGAAGCGATGACTTGATTGGAAAATGTAAGCACCCGAGAGGTCTTGGCAGGATGAATATGGAAAGGAGAATCTAAAATTAGGGGTTATTGATTTAAAACTAAGGGTTATCAGTTTTGAGACATAGGAATTTTTTTGTCTTACGATTGAGAGTCCTTGGAAGTTTTCCCAAAAGGAAGGTAACTTCAGAGTTTTTGACTATTCGTGCAGAGATAGATAGATAGATAGATTCTTGATATGCAAGGTGAAAGGTATCAGGAATTGGTGGAGTGATCAGAGCAGTCATGGTATTATTGAATGGCAGAGCATACTTGAGGGACGGAGTAGCCTACTCCTACTCTTAATTCATATGATCACATAAAATATGAGGAGACTGGCAGTTAACATTGAAGACATTTAGATAGGCTTCTATAGGCATATAAATCATAAGAATGTGGTAAAAAAAAAGTTGCCAATTGTTATCAAAGACAGGGGAGTTACATATGGAAGCAGATGGCATGGCTTAATGTGTAATTTGCATCTGCCTTTATCAAGGAAGAAGATGCTTCTAAAGTCATACTAAAAGAGGTTGGAATTCACATACTGAAAGGGTAAACAATTGATAAAGGAAGGCTGCTATACTTAAAAGTTGATAATTCACCCAGACCAGATGAGATGCATCCAAGGATACTGAAGGAAGTAGGGGTGGAAATTGTGGAGGCATTGGCCATAATTTTCTAATCCTGTCTAGATGTAGAATGGTGTCAGAGGACTGGAAGTACTAAATATTACACTTTCGTTCAAAAAAGGGACGTTAAGAATAACCCAGGAAACAGACCAGCCTGTTTCACCTTGGTAGTGAGAAAGCTTTTACAAAGTATAATGCATCACAAAATTAAAAGTTATTGGAACAACTTTGGATTCATTTAAGGATTAGAAAATACAGCACTGATTTGTTAAGGGCAAATCATGTTTAATCAATTTTATTGCATTTTTTGAATAAGCAACAAGATGTTGATAAAGGTATGTGTGCATAGATTTTTTTCAATTTCGCAGAATGTGATACAAAATGATGCCGTTCGCCTCATTGTGTCTGCAGTGGCTCTGGGCACAAATTTCCTGAAGGCATTTGATAAAGTGCCTATTAACAGGCTTGTCAGTGAAGTGGAAATTCATACAATATAATGGACAGCGGCAGCATTGGTGCAATGTTGGCGCAGTGACAGGAAATGGAGATTGATGTTAAATGATAATATATAAACGTTTCCCATTTACTGATATTTGAATCCCAGCCTTTCTCAATATATATGAACAGCCTAGAGTTAGGAGTACGGGACAATTTCAAAATTTGCAGATGCACAAAACTTGAAAGTAGTGTGAACTGTAAAGTGAATCATGATAGACTTCGAGAGTGCATAGGCTAGTGGAATTGGTACATATTGCAGCATTTTTGTGCTGAATAATGTGAAATGATGATTGCATTTCTTTAAGGGTGCTTAACTGGAGCAAAGATCACATCGTAAGGAAAATAAGTGGATTAATAGATATCTAGACAACGATTGATAATATATTAATTTAGAAGATTCCAAACAATCAAAACCAGTTTATTTTCTACTGGCCATGAGTTTTTTCTGTTTTCTTATTTCTCTGATATTACATTGCTGATAGAGATTGAATGAGAAACACTTGGTTATGATGTGTCAGCTGGCATGAGATGTGGGACACCTTGATGAACCACTGGGCCTTTTACTTGTCCATCACTTCAGTGTGTTTGTTATCTGACTCTCAAATTACAGTTATGAGGCATATAAAATAATAATTGCACTGTTTTGTTTGGACAATTATATGCATTTTTTATTGCAGCTGGAGGAGATTTTTATACTTGTTTTCCATTTACATGTTACAGTATGCAGTCAGTAAGTATTTGTTATCCAACTTTGCTTCTCTGTTGAAAACAGAAGGAAGAGGAAAGGTTATGAGGAAGATGGAACAATTTCCAAAAAGTCAAAAGTGGAAGAGGTTAGTAAGGCTCTTTTGTAATGTAAAAACCAAAAGAACTGCGAACGCTGTAAATCAGAAACAAAAACACAAATTGCTGGAAAAGCTCAGCGGGTCTGGCAGCATCTGTGGAGAGAAATCGGAGTTAACGTTTTGTTAACTGAGGAAGGGTCACTCGACCTGAAACGTTAACTGTGATTTCTCTCCACAGGTGCTGTCAGACCTGCTGAGCTTTTCCAGCAATTTCTGTTTTGGTTCTTTTGTAATGTAGTTTGCTCAGCATTTTGCAGTAACATAAAGATTGCGTCACTAAAGAATGTACAAAATAATGTGAAATATCAACAGTTTGTTTCCTTAGTTTGTACGTTTTGTACATGGATAGTGTTCTTTAGATTGGACAGCATCAACTGTGGGTTGTCAGGTTAGGCTAGTCCTTAGAATCCTCAAAATCACTGATCGTATTGCATTGCTTGTTGACTGGATTAAAAAGTGAATGGAAAAAGCTAATGATGAAAGGAGGGTAGATCATGGGAAATGTCCTTCAGCTTCTGTCACAGGTTCGACAAGGAAGAAAAGTTACTACAGCAGTAGAAATGATTGTGCTATGAATTATGTTGATTATACCTCCATATTCAACAGATCCGTTAAGCAGAGACTCCTGAGATATACTAATACAGAACTACTCAAATCATTCATCAGCGTAGTGCATCACTGTCTTGATTGAAGCACAAATCTGCTTGAAGTGAGACTCTATATAATAACACTAATTGGGAAAATTTGGTCAGTATTATTAGGATGTTAATCTATTTGCACGCCCAGACTTTGGGTGCATGCTGTTAGGGTTATGGTTAACTAGAAAAGTACTGATATTGTTCATTGCCAATGTAAAAAAAAAAATGCTGTTCTGAATCTGGTTAGCTACTGACATTCACTATTATTGAAGATTCTACTCAATTACCTTCTCTGTTAACTCACTAAATCATAACTTGTGCTGATTTATATGTTTCCCAATCTGTCTCTTCATGAGACGAGAAAAGCAAATACCATTAACTTATGAGAAATTGTTTTTATTGAACATTCATGATCTCAAATAGTGCTCATACCATTATTGCTGAAATCTCTATCCATTGTTTTGTTAAACCTTAGCTTAATTCTTTAATGTTTTCTTTGTTGGCCTTCCATTGACTCCAACTACTCTAAAACTCAGTTGATTACATATTACATTTACCCATTACTACTATCCCCAGTGCCCCTCAATGAATGGAAATAAATAGCTTCACTTGAAAACCCTGCTTTCATTGCCTCGCTATGTTTCAACAACTATCTTCAGCCTTGGATAATGCACTACAGGCAGCATCCATGTTGCAAACAGGTTCCATTTTTAAGTCCATTCACAAGTCAATTTATAAACAAGTTGAAACACAATTCAGGACAATATAAAATAGCCACTCGTAAGTACTAGAAAATATTTGTGTGTTGGGCCTTTAAAATTACTATTAATACACCCTGCATGCATAAGTACGAGCGTTCATCTAAACCGGATGTTTGTAAATCCTGACCCCTTATATTCCAACTTGTCTATGTGTCTTGCTTCCTAAATCCTACTGCCTCTTCACTTCTATATCAATCTTTTAAGTAAAATTCTGATAATCTGTGGCTTTTATTTGTTTTATCTACTTTAAGTATTCTGGTATCATCAGACATTGCATTTCTGTCTTATTTATAGGAGGAATGGAGTGATGACGATCTAGCTGATGCAATGTAAGTTGCTGCTTGACTTACATTTTGGAAATATTCGTGGAGAAATAACTGCTGTGGTAGTCCTATTAGATATTTATTCTGAGGCATAACATCCAGACACGAGTTTTGACTCAACCAGGTTGTGCTTTTGGAAAGAAGAGTTATGATGCCAAATGAGGGAAACTAAGGCTGCAGACCGTAGGCGCAGGCAGTACATAGGATGCAACAGATTTTTTTTCTGCAAATGGCATTTGATAGTCTATTTATTTTTACCTAAACAAAAGACACAAAATGCTGAAAGTACTGTGACAAACATCAAAGGAAATTTTAAATGATTGCATTGCTGAGGTGTTTGATTTGTCAATATCAATACGTAATTTGTTTTGGAAGTATGTTTTACGTGTCCAATTTTCATTCCCTGTATTCAAAATAAAATTCATATTGTTTCCGTGACTTAAGCTTGGAATATTTTTTCAATATGTCCTTGGTCTTCTGAGTTTCAAGAAATTGAGTGAGAATAAGGGTTTTGATTTTGTTCATTGCTCAAAATATATGTTTTTAAAAAAGTTCTGTAGATTTGCCTGGCTGCAAATTTTATCTTGCATACCCTGCAAATAATACAGAAAAATAATTTTTTTACAATCTAAGGTTATGTGAAATTAATTTATGTTAATCCCATGACCTCTATCACAATACAGAATAACTGACTAGTGCAAAAGATTTCAGGTAGATAGTCTCCTCTTTCTATATACATCTTGTTAAACAGTTAAATCTGTAGCTTTATTAACCATTTTGATTTTGTTTAGATTTATGTATCTTTCTTTGCAACAGATTCGTTCCTATGAGTGTAAAGAAAATTAAGACTGGCCTTTCACATATTCAGTAGTCTCTTCAACTGTCGTTCAATATCAAGTTTAGCCTACAGGCAGGTTATTTGGGCTATTTCACTGTAAGTTCCGTAATCAATTGTAACTGAGCTTCCCAAATAGTATGAGAGCTTAGAGTTGTGAAATCTGAGGTAGTTGCCGAGGAGCTCAGACTGAATGTTAATAGCTGTAAGGCCCCTTTAAGTAATTGTGCTTTATTCTGTTGGTAGCTTGTCTTTGCAGACAGATCTTCAAGGTATGTTTGCTGCTGCAAAAAAGTCTGAAATATAAGGTTTTTCCTCCAAAAAGATGTACGTGCAGACTAAACAATTCCTCCCCAGCCACTTCTCTCCCTCACTCACCTGTTCCCTATTCAGGTGCTGAAGCCATCCCTTTTGTCCTTCTAAGGTGTCTCTCAGTTTGAAATGAGAAAATGTTTGGAAAGTACTGTCCTAACGTCTTAATAAATGGAAGAAACCATTATGCATAAAGGTTGTGCGTGTGTGTGGTACCTTTAACATAGTGTCCCAACGTATATCCAGCCAAAATCTCCCACTGAGCCACGTGAAGTTCGATTTTGAGGAGCATGTTAAGGAGTAAAGCAATGTGAAGAACTATATAGAGAATTGCACAGAATTGGACCTACAGATTTGAAAATACAACTGATGGCATGATGAAGGAAATTGGGGATACAGGACTGTCTACAATTGATGGAATAAATAAGTTAACTTTTGGAGTTGTAGATCTTTAGCTGGTAGTCCTGGATGATGTTAAGGAACATGAAGTTGGGTATTTTAAATGAGGCTATCCTGGACTATGAAACAAAGTCAGCCAATGTGCGCAGAAATGATGGGTAAAGCAGGATTTGGTGAGGCGATGTAAACTTCAACTGCAAAAAATTTTAATGCAGTGCAAAAGTTAAGTAAATGAAATATCCAGTAGTGAAATTATAGGCTGGAATTTTTAAAGAATGAGTTGTGTAATTTGAAAAATACATAGAAAACAAGAAATAAAAGCTAGAAAATAGACAATAAAGGAACGAGTAATTCCCAATGCAACCGTGTATTGAATAAAGTAGGTAATACCGTAAGAAACAAGAACAAGAGTAGGCTGTTTGCTATTCAGTAAGATCATGGTTGATCCGACATTCCTGCCCTTTTTCCTCAAAAGTCGATTCCCCTATTGATCAAGAATCGATCTCGGCCATAAATATATACAGGACTCTGCCCCCACAGCTTACTGTGGCAAGGTGTTCCAAAAACTCTCAACATCCTGTGAGAAGAAATCCCTTCTTCCCTTAGTCTTAAATTGGTGACCCTTTATTCTGAGTCAATGCCCCCTGGTCCTAGACTTTCCCATGAAGGGAAACATCCTCTCAGCACTTACCATGTCAAGCCCTTTAAGAATCCTGTATGTTTCAATGAGATCACCTCTCATTCTTCTAAACTCCAGTGAGTCCCAAACTGTTTAACTCTTGCTTATAAGACAATCCCTCCATACCAGGATCAGTGTGGTGAACTTACTCTGAATGGTTGACTGCTTTTTTTCCGTAGATGCCGCTGTTTCTGTTTTTATTTTGAACCTTCTCTGAACTGCTTCCAATGAAATAATACCTTTTCCCAAATAAGGGGACCAAAACTGCCCATAGTCCTCCAGATGTTGTCTTACCAGCAGTAAGATTTTTTCACTCTTATACTCCAACTCTCTTGAAATAAGGGTGAACATTCTGATAGCCTTCCTGATGAACTGCTGTATCTGTGTGCCGGTTTTCTACAATTTGCACACGAGTACCCCCAAGTACCTTTGTGTTGCAGTTTTTCTCTTTTTAAAAAATATTGTGTTTTTTTGTTCTCCTTTCCAAAATGAACAACTTCACATTTTCCCAAATTATACTCCATTTGTCAACTTGTTACCCACTTAACCCTATCAATATTTCTTTGTAAACTATTTGTATCTGTCATTTGGACATTTGGCTACAGTACATTTGTTTCCTTCCTCCAAGCCATTAATATATATTGTAAACCATTGCAGTCCTAGCACTGATCCCTGTGGAACCCACTGGTCACGGGTGGAAATAGGATTTCGGTTTTCCTGATTATAGGGCATTAGAAAAGGTGGGGTATTTGAAAAGGCTGGGCACAATTAGTTTTTTAAAAAAAAATGAGAATATGAGGGATGATATACTAGTAGATCATCACATCGGGTTATGAGGTTGAACTTAAGAAGTTGTATAAAGCATTTAATAGCCAGTTTTGTAGTTGCTGTTGTAATGTAGGAAATGAGGAACCAACTTTGCACACAGCAAAATGTTGCTAACTGTAATAAGACAGTGACACAATAATTTGTTTTGTGATGCTGACTGAAGAATAAATATCACCTATGAGATTGGACAAAATACCCCTGACCTCCTTCAAAAGAGTCATATGATCTTTTATATACATCTAAGTAGGCAGATGCAACCTTGGTTGAACATCTAAAAGACAGCACTTCCAACAATGTACTGCTGGAGTGACAGCCTTGAAATTTGTATTCAAGTTTTTTCTTTATTTTTCCCACAGGATGTGGGCATCAGTGGCGAGGTCAGCTTTTGTTATCCATCCCTGATAGCCCTTGAAAGGAATATGGTGAGTCAGTTATGCGGGGGAGGGCAGCAATGACCTAGTGATATTAGCACTGGACTGTTAATCCAGAGACCCAGATAACTTGGGTGCCCAGAAAGTTCGAATCCCACCACGACAGATGAATTCAATAAAAAAAATCTGGAATTAAGAATCCAATGATGACCATGAATCCAATGTTGATTGTCAGGAAAAACCCATCAGGTTCATCAATGTCCTTTAATGAAAAAAACTGCCATCCTTACCTGGTCTGGCCTACATGTGACTGCAGACCTACAGCAATGTGGTTGACTCTGAACTGCCCTCTGAGGAATTAGGGATGGGTAATGAATGCTGCCTTGCCAGCAACACCCTTGTCCCATGAATGAATAAAGGGGAAAAAAAAGTTTCTTGAACTGCTGCAATCCACATTGTATGGTACACATAAGGTGCTGTTAGGGAGAGGGTTCCAGGAATTGACCCAATGATTGTGAAAGATTTGTGATCTAGTTCCAAGTCAGGGAGTCATGTGGCTTGCAGAGACACTTGGGTGATGTTCCCCTTCATCTCCTGCCCTTTCTTCCAGCTGGTTCTGGATTTGGATTTGAATACATGGTCTACTGCTTCAGAAGCAAGAATGCTACCAACAGCTAATACACTGTAGAAGGAAAAAAAAAAAATCACATGCTAGAATATAGTAATGGATCCCTAAAGTCAAAAGATTTGAGTAAATATGTATGTAAATTTCTTGAAATGCCAGTACAATATGGCAATAGTAAGAGATTCCAACCATTTTACTATTAACTGGAGTTGAATCCATATAAAAGGATTAAAGTGAGCTTTTTTTTTGAAAAGTTCAATAATGCTTGTTTAGCCAGTACATGGTGGACTAACAAATAGGCACCTCAGACTTAGTTTCGGGAAATTAAGCTGGGGAGATGGAAGCAGTGGAACAGTTTGAAGGTAATGATTATAGTGCAGTTATTGTAAGCCTGGTTAGGGGAAAAAAAAGGGACAAATTTTGTAATATAATGAAATAAACACAGTGCTGCTGTCTTTCTCCAGCATACACTGTCTGTGCCTATGATGCAATGGATAATTTTCTTGTCTCTAAACACTCCCCTCCAGCCCCACCACACCCGGCACTTTTCCCTGCAATCGCAGGAAGTGCTACACCTCCCCCCTCGGCCCCAAGAAGACTTTCCACATCAAGCAGATGTTCACCTGCACATCTGCTAATGTGGTATACTGCATTCGCTGTTCCTGTTGTGGCCTCCTCTACATCGGGGAAACCCCTCCCATTCCTCAGACAACATTCCCCTGGGTCTCCTGCAGTGCCACAACGATGCCAGCCGAAGGTTGCAGGAACAGCACCTCATATTTCGCTTGGGAACCCTGCAGCCCAATGGTATCAATGTGGACTTCACAAGCTTCAAAATCTCCCCTCTCCCAACCACATCCCAAAACCAGCCCAGCTTGTCCCCGCCTCCCTAACCTGTCCTTCCTCCCACCTCAAGCTGCACCCCCATTTCCTACCTACTAGCCTCATCCGCCCCCTTGACCTGTCCATCCTCCCTGGACTGACCTATCCCCTCCCTAACTCCCCACCTACACTCACCTTTATTGGCTCCATCCCCGCCTCTTTGACCTGTCTGTCTGCTTTCCACCTATCTTCTCCTCTATGCATCTTCTATCTGCCTTCCCCCTCTCTCCCTATGTATTTCAGAACCCCCTTCTCCTCCCCCATTTCTGAAGAAGGGTCTAGGCTTTCCTGCTCCTCTGATGCTGCTTGGTCTGCTGTTTATCATCCAGCTCTACACCTTATCTCAGATTCTCCAGCATCTGCAGATCCTACTATCTCTATGCTCAAGGACCATTCCAGGATCCAGTCAAAGAAGGATGCTTTCAAAACATAGCCAAACATATTGAGTCTTGTAAATCCTTCCAAATATGCCAGTAGCGAATGAGAGAGATACTTATGCTCAGTCAT